TCTATCAGCCACCACTCTTAGAGTGTCCCCACCAACTTTCATTACAAAGTTACACCCTTGATTCAGTTACATTTGTAGAGTAAATGTGAAATTCTTTAATTTTGACTACTTTAGTACAAAAAAAAAAACAAACAAGCAAAATATATCCGCCGTGTTGTTTAAGAACTTTTAGTAAAATTTTGAATATGTGTTAGGGTGTGCATCGTGTCTTATTTTTATCATATGTGCAGTGAGAAATTAATGGAAACGTTTTAGTTCAAACTCAAAGAGAGAATGGAGATATAGTGATCACTGACCAGCCATAGGGGCGCTAGTGAGCCTCTACAGCAGTGTAATATAGCTGGGGTTTCCGGTGAGCTACTCACACACAAGGGAGAAGAGCCCATTTTAAGATTAGTTAACGATTTTGTTAGACGTAATCGACTTTGAATATTATTTATTGTTATATTGACAAGGCAAGAGTTTCGAAACAAAGGTAATACCACATATAATACTATCTTTGTTGTTTCTGCTCTGGGTTTTAGCTATTGCTAGCCACCTTATGCTAACGTCCGTTGGACGAAAGGGCCTTGCTAGCAGTGTTAGCGCTAATGCTAAGGTTCATGTTTTAGTTACATTGTCATGTAACTAAAACCTTCTCGGGTTACGTGGGACAGTGTAAAGTGGTCTTCTGAGTGATTTAAATGTTTTTTTTATATACATATATATACATGTATTCCGAAATCCACTGGCTATTCGTAGGATGCTGGGTGACTTCGCTTTCTGTTGTTCTGTTTATTTTAGCGCACAGATGTCTGAAGAACTGGCGAAACAGCTGAGCAGCTACAAAGCACAGCTACAGCAAGTAGAAGTTGCTTTATCAACCGATCCAGATAATGAAGACCTCCAAAAACTTCAGAAGGACTTGCAGGTTTGTTGTGTTCACCTTTCACTCTACTTGATTCATGCAAACATTTTATTTCTACTTCACTGCAATTTAGTTGATGACAGATTGGAATCGGTTGAAGAGCATACGCGCAATTTGGAGGAAATGTTACCTTAATATAGTATGGAGTTTGATTGAAATGTGTTACAATTCAGGATAACAATTGTGAAAACAATATTTCTGTGAAATCTATCAATCCATTTATCCATTATCTCAATAATCAGTCGACCCATCCCATTTCCCCATTTTTTTCCATATTTCTCGTGTTTTAATTTTATATTTACGCTCACATTTACACTCTTTCCTTTCCATTAATTCTCAAATTTCTCGTGTATTTCATGCTTTTGTTGTACATTTGATAGGAAACAACTTTTGAAAAATTTTAAGAAAGATCCACAGTACAATATAAGTAAATAGTGATGTTTTGATGTTAAATAGATATTGGAAATATCTGATATCAACCATTGTAGCCTGAATCTTAAAAACCATGTAAAATACCTTTGATAGAAGCTCTCTGCTTAGCATTTAGCATTTCTATCTGGCGGTATCCTGCATGCACAGCAGCAGCTAAGTGTAAAACTTTATGTACAAATGTCCTTTAATGGATCGTTTTTTTTCTTACTCAACTGTTGCTTATTCTTTATGTGACTCTAAGGCTTGATCAAGCCTTTTCTATCATTCCATACAACAAAGTAATTGATAAACGTATGCATGATTTCTGCCAATATTTATACTCAAAGCTGCAATAATGGATATGCATTGAAAATGGAAAAGTTCTATCAGGATTCCCCTTTAATAATAACATGGACTACTTTGGATAAATAAATTGATCCTCGGCTAAATACAGTTAAAGTCTTTCTGATCTTGATGATAGGCAAGCATAGTGTCTGATAACAAGTAACATCTGGCTCCATCTACTGCTTTAGTCTTAGATCTATTTCCCTAATAACTTTATTAGAATGAGATAATGCACAGTTCAAGCAATTATCCTCCATTAAAAAAAACAGAAATCATCAAGTATATTACTGGGGTTGGGAGCCCAAATACAAATATGTTTACGTGTTATGTCATTCATATTTTTTTTCCCCAGGTTTGAAAAATAAGCAAGGTTTGCTCCTAAAGTTATATGAGCCATATAATGTTGTAGCTTCCAAGTTAAACAAAAATGGACAGTTCAGAAAAGCCGAATGAAACAAGTGAAAAGTCTGTCAAGTTTATCTGGATATAAAAAAAAAATTACAAAACCTGTAGACAGGGGCCTGTTTAATGATCTTATGGAATTTTGAGTGAAAATACTAGTTTTAATTTACTACAATATTTACAAAAAATAAATTAACAGAAAATTATAACATCTAATTGGGTTTACCTCTCTGCGTTCTGCTGTTTACATAGTTTAACTCTAGTTCTCAGCTTTAGTTGTGGCTTTTTTATGAACCGGTTTAGCCTTTATTCACCAATTTTGTGTATTGTTAGTAGATTTAAAATGCCAGTTGCATAAAATATTATCCCATTTGGTTGTTCAAGTCATTATGGAATTACAGCTATAACAAGCTTACATTAGCTCTTTAATTAGTTTAAAATAATTCATGAAAGGGATTTATTTGAACATAAAAATGAGAACATCTGCCTTGTAAATATTGCTGTTTTTTGTTATTCCCTTGCAGGAAGTCATTGATTTGACCAAAGATCTCCTGAGTGCGCAGCTCATTGATGGGGCTTCCAGCACCAGTGGTTCAGCGTCTGTACCAGTGAAGAAAAGCTGGAAAGTGGGTGACAGATGTATGGCAGTATGGAGTCAGGATAGCCAGTGAGTTTCAACATCCTCTAAAAATAAACAATTAGATGTACGTGGAATGCTTGCCATCAAACTGAAAAACACTTTTTTAGTTGGTTTAAAGTATGTTTAAAGTGTGAGTGTTTGGGTGTTGAAAGCATAAGGGTGTGGAAATTTCAACAACCTTATGCCAGAGTATTCTTGCTGTACTATTACTATATCATGATTTTCAAATGCATTGTGTTTATAATCTATACATGTCTGCAAGTCTTTCTACATAGCTTGATAAAATCCATTGCTAAAGTATAGAATGTTTCTTTTTAAATGCATTTTATTAGCAGACATTTGGGAGATGATTCAGTTGCTCATTTTGATTAGAAATGAAAATGTATGTGGAATTTATAAGAAGTAGGTTATATGGTAAATAGTTGAACTTTGCCTGTTGAGTAGACCTTGAGTTTTTGGCTCATACTCACCTGCTTACAGACGTGATCTTTTGACAGGGTGTATGAAGCTGAGATTGAGGAGATAGACCGAGAAAATGGCACTGCTGCTGTTACGTTCATTGAATATGGGAACGCTGAAGTGATTCCCCTGCAGAACCTCAAAGTAGTGGAAGAAGGGAAGCGATCTGAGGAGGACGGAGGGGGAAAATCAAAGTCAAGGTAATAAAAATCTTATTCTTATTCACTTAATGTTCTGCTTCCCCGTGAAAGTCAGGCTTGATTTTTGTTTTTTTTGTTTTTTGTGTGTGTATGTCTCTTTCTGCCTCTTAATACGGACCTTGCTTTTCTGTAATTTTGTTTAAAGAAACCTGTCAGCCTCTCGCTGAGCTGCAAATGTGTTTAGGGGATGCATTGTTACTGAATGAATACAATCCACTCATATGATGGTTTTATTCTGGGAAATTTCAGTGTAAAATATTGAAATAAAAGGTTAAAAATTATCTAGCCTTCACAAGGAAAAATATACTTTTTACAACAAATTACTTGAGTCAACCCAGTTCATTTTGTGTTGCACATTACAAACAATACTTGAATGAAGCACAGTTTTCTATCCATCGGTCAAAAGCTTGAGGGCGGCTACGTTCTCGAAAGCGTCTCTGTCCTCGGACTGATTTTCTCCTCATGCAAAGGAAAATGTGTTTTGAAAGGTTGGGTGGAGACAAACCTTTTCTTTGAGCCTCCTCCTGATTGGGCCTTGCAGACACGATCACACAGGAAGTACTGTCAGGAAGCCTTTGACTGACAGCTCGTCATCCATAAGTACAGACGACGGCTGGAGGCGGGACACTGGCGGAGGCTTCTCCAAAGTTTGTGGTAGATGGGGTAAGTGGCAAGTGTCAATCAAAGGCTTCCTGACACTTCTTCTGGTGTGATCGTGCCTGCAAGATCCAATCAGGAAGAAATCCAAACCACTGCCAGATATTGCTCAGCTCAAACACCTGATGTCACCATAGTTAATTTGCCGGTTGCTGTAGTGTGCGTGCAGAAAATAAACCGGTTTTGGGAAGGGTTTATGATGCATTCAAAGTGTGTGGAGAAAAATAAAACTCTCAGTGAAATAGATGGAGATGGCTTAATGTCGTCGTGAATTTATACTCCATGGTTGCGATAGTCAAATTAACTATTGTGCGTTGGAAAACTGAAGATACATCGAGTTTATTCAACATTTTGCCCACCACTAGGGGGAACATCAAAACACTCTGCTCAGCTGCAACTAAAATCCAAGGATACCTGATGGGTTGAACAAATATTCAGAAATACTCTGTTCATCTCTGATGCTCTGAATGGAGTACAGGGGCACCAAGGATCAGACCAATATGGTTGCTGTCTGTACCATTGAGCCTCCAAAAAGGCAATAAACCTTTGAACTGGAGTAGGGCTGGGCGATATAGAAAAAAAGCTTATCGATAAAAAAAAATGCATATTGATCGATATCGATAATTATTGAAAAGATTTGAAACCATATTTTATGTGCAGCTCTGCCTCGACTTTTATAATATTGCTAAATGATTTAATTTTAATAAAAAACACAAACACAGACTTCGAATTAAATCTTTATTTAACCAACTTTTTTAACCATAACAGAATTGTTTTAAAGAAAAATAACTTAAGAGACCTGAGTTATGTTATTAAATACTGACAAAGAATAAACTAAAGTGACCAGAAAAGAGACCAAAATAAATATAACAAATAAATAAATACCCCCCCACCGCCGCCCCCGTTTCCTGCTTTAACCTGAGTTATTACTTTGAAGTTTCTGGCCCCTCAGCATTTTTATCTCAATTGTTAGAACTACGTGGGAAACTGCCCAGAACTGAAAAAATATATATATTTTCCGAAGATTCCTCGGAGGAGAGCCGCGTCGGGGCCTACACAGCTCGTACTCCTGCGGCTGTGAGCGGCTGAGATGAAAAAAAAAAAAGTTGGTTTCGTTATCAGACTTGGTTTTCACTGGTTCCCGACACATTTTCTAGATGACTGTGGTTTGTTTTTGGTCCGACTTGCCATGACCGAAATACTGCCGAACTGCCGAACTACAAAAACCTTTCTTTGGAACAATTTCCTCCGCCTTTCCTTGTTGGACATCTTCATGTGCTCTGTGTTGTGGTTTGAGAGGGCGGCGCTTGGTGACGGCGTGCCTGGGTCCGCGATTGTGATTGGTTGGGAGGAAGCAGTGACTAGCATAAACCTACATGCTAGGCTACAATGAGAAGGAAGGAAAACTACGTTTCTTTTTTATCGAACTTTTATCGACCCTCTTTTTTTCTATTGCGCCACACGTCTATCGATCGATATATATCGTTATTGAATTATCGCCCAGCCCTAAACTGGAGCCATCTGTTTAGTTTGTCTACTTGCTTGACTTCTCTTGACATCTTATGAAAAAGAGGAAAAAGGCAGCTCCATTGTTTTCTCTGATCAATGTAGGAAAATACCCAATTAAAAACTAAGTAAAGGGTATTGCATTTAGAGGGTTTTGATTAAAAGGTTTCCTCTCCTGGCCAACAGTGCAGCTGTTTCATCAAAATCAGTTTCTTTTATCCAGTCCTTCGTGAAAAAGCTTTGCTTCTGATTGCTTTACATTTTTCTGACAAAAGAAATGTTTAAAGATACCATTTTGAAATTTTCTTCATGAATGGCACTAATATCAGTCCCCAGTTTACCATCTGATGGCAATTTTCAACCCATTAAATGGCAGTTTTAGCTATTTACCTCTGAGCTAGGTAGAAATATTGTCAGTTTTTTCATGTCATTTTGAGTCTTTTGTTCCCTTGGTCTTTATTATGGCTAACACTTTGAAAATGTGAATCTGTCTAAAGAATCAACTTAAAATGAATTGCAGATTAACGGATTATTAGGTTAAAAAGTGATCTGATTAAATGAACAATTCAGCTTCGATTAATCTTTTTAACATATTCTTTTGCTGCACTGCCCAGATGAGGGCGCTGCTGTTCATTCTTCTTAAGAAGCATGCCAGTAGTTAAAAAAAATAAAAAATAAAAAAAAAACGTAATGAGGCCTGCTAAAGCAGTAACACAAACTGATCCAATTTTTTTTCACACTTTTATGAGAAGAAGGCTGCAAAAAGGGCTCTATTCAGTTCTGTCTGTTAACATAAACGCTCAATGAACTCTCTAAGTTATCACTCAGCTGTGCTGCATGGTGGAGCATGCCAACCAAAAATTACAGATGCAGTGACAGAAAAAGGGGGGCGGGGGCTTCATGCAGAGCACTTTGATTGTGATTTTAAAAGATGTAATAGCAATAAATGCAGTACATTTCAAGAGAAGCCTTTCATTTGGCTGTTTTAACATTTCCTGGAAAGCAATCATAGCCACCTGCTTTGAAGAATGGCTAACAGCAAAGGGTTGCTCCCACTGCTGGTTATTGGAAAATATTTCCAAGTACAAGGAAGATGGAAAAGAAGCTGCAAGTTTTTTTTTATTTTTTATTGGCTAGGTTAAAATGATTGCGTGTTAATATGGAGAGGATAAGGCTTATGGTCCAGGTTACTTTCCTGCTCTAAATCTGCACTGTTCACTACTTAAATTAATTTAGACCCTTTTTTTATGATTTGAGGATAACAACTTTTAAAATAAACTACATTCATTTTAATGGTTGTGACTTGACGTACAACATAAAACGCACAGAAAGGTTGACTTTCAATAAATATTTACTTTGATAGAAGCATTTAAAGACTCTTCTGAAATTCAATTTCCAACACCAACAATGTCCATTAGGATATTTTTCTTTACAGTTTATAATTGGAATATAACATTGCAGTTCACCATATGTTGTGTTTACATTATCATTTTGTCTCAATGAATTAAAAAAATAGGGATATCAGATCTTTTTATTTGACCAGTTTTTGTTCTCTTTCATCCTGTGTCTCCAGAAAAGAGCAAATAGCAGAGCAGCGAGAGTATAAGAAGAAAAAAGCCCAGAAAAAGGTGCAGAGGATGAAGGAGTTGGAGCAAGAGAGGGAGGACCAGAAATCTAAGTGGCAACAGTTCAACAACAAAGCTTATTCAAAGAACAAGAAAGGACAGGTAAAAGTATGCTTTTTATTTTTAATATTTTGTTATGATTTATGCAATAGTTGCTGAGTTGTGTGTTTTGTTGTATTTCCTTTCAGGTGAAGAGGAGCATATTTGCATCCCCAGAGAGCGTAAATGGAAAGGTGGGAGTGGGAACATGTGGTATTGCAGACAAACCTATGACCCAGTATAATGACACGTCCAAATACAACGTCAGACATCTGATGCCTCAATGACCTAACATGCTCTGTACATAATTATCCACTGTGTACTAGTTGTATCAGTGCTTTTTGTTGTGTTTCTACATGATTAAAGTCCCTCAAGTAATGAAAGCTTTTAAAGGAACTGGTTGGACACCAGGATTTGAAATGTCGCTGTAGTTCTCTTGTATATTATAGAACCTCAACTAAAAAGAATTAGATATTTTTTCCCATTATTGTTGTCTAAAAACATTATGAACTATGGAAAAGCTGTGGAGTTTGTACTTATTTTAAGATGAAGCAAAACCTCCTCTAAGATGTTTATAAACTTAGGCCATTTGATTTGGAGTGCACATTTGATGCTGCATTGTTAAATTCTCATCAATAATGGCAAGGAGATCTGATTCATTATGTTAAGGCTTTGGAATTCCTGGACATTTTAATTTCTGTATATATATAAAAATGGTAAAATAAACATTGTTTTGTTTTCAGTTTTTAGGAAAAAACTGCTTTCTTTTTAATGTCTCATTGTTTTCTTATTGTGGTACCTGTAGATGGCAGCAAAGACTTAACAGCCAGTAAAATAAGCAGAACAATACAGCAAAAACTGATAAATACAGAAATTTAAACTGCTTAAAGGTACAGGAACATCTTAGTTAACCCAAGGCATCCTTCATAGTTATTTCACCTTATTTATTTGAAAATGTGAAACAAAACTGGGACAAAGGGTGATATACTTCAAAACGTTCATGTTGATCAAGAATTAAAGCTAATGATGAATACCTTAGCGGAAAATTACTTTGGTAGAAGTGAAAGTCACTGATAAAAGTACTTGAGTTAAATGTCCCTGAGAAAACTAGGAAGTGGTCTGTAGGAATGCATAAAATATGTCCACTATGTCTTAAAGAGGAAAAACTAACAAATTAAGTGGATTCTTTCAAAATACAGATGTAAAGCAAATTTCACTACACTTTAACACCAATGGTTTAGTGCTAACTTGAGTTTAGAATAACAGTAGTATTAATAACCTTTTCATCCCTCTAGAGAAATACATTAAATGAACATGTTTTTAAAAGGGCATTCTCAAATAAAAATAAATCAAACATGGTGCATTAATCCCACTGAGAAGTTAGAAGTGTGGACCAGGTAATGATTTTGTTCACATGCCTATTAGGGATCAAAAAAACTTTCATTATAAATCCGGGCCATATAATTATAGCGAGTAGCAATATCTCAGATTTTTAAGTCAAGAAGTAGTTTACTTTTCTATGTGAAAAAAAGTCTTTATTAAAAAAGAAAAAAAAATGTAAGTATAAAATGATTTAAGTACTGTAATGAATTACATGTACTTAGTTACTATACACCACTGCTGTACAGCTTATGTAGAAGAAGGACGTTTTCTCTATGAATCACTCTTAAATGCCCCGTGTCATGCAGACGATCAGCCCATCTCTACTTAGATGTCTTTCATTACTTTATCTTATTAGTTCAGGAAGGATGCATTCAATGTTTTTTTTTTTGTTTTTCTTGTCAGGAGAGGCTCTATACTTGGAATGTGAAAACGGGCTAATGCCCTGTGTGTGTGTGTATATATATATATATATATATATTATATATACATGAGTATGTGTGGTGGCTCTTGAAGCTCTGATTCCAGCTGCAGTCCACTTCTTATCTCATCAGAACCCTTGAATAGCCTTTGCTTCATAATCCTCTCAAAGCTGCAGTTGTTACTTGTGCTTCATTGTCACCCAGACTTCTCCTTCCTCTGAACCCTCCAATAATATACTTTGATGTTCCAATAAACAGCAAAATTCTATGAAAAAACCATCAGAATTCTTATGATAGATGGAAATGGATCAGAGGAACATGTAGGCCATACCTGTAATTAGTCGTTTTTATTTTGTACTTGATTTTTAGCTTATAATTAAATGAACAGAAGTTAATGCTTAAATTGTTTATTTTTTTGGATTACTTATTAAGCTTCAATTGCACAATATATAGTAGTGCACTTTGATGTAGACCCTTGATTAGAAGCTTAAAGAACACATCAGAATGATTTTGTGTTTAAAGTTTTTATTAAGATTCTAGGAAGTCTCCAGGAGCTGATACAAATTCTTAGTAAGGGACCAGCAGCACATATTTTGCAAAAAAGTCATCTTGGACGGCTGAGTAAGCATAAGAAAAACATTCTGGGTTGTGCCTCAACATAATTGACATTTTCTTAAAGTAGTGCATTTTTGTGGTTTCCCAAACGTGATGGGCAGGGGAAGGCTCTCCAACAAAGCATCGGACGATCCCCTTGTTAAGACACAAATTGGTGGTGATTTACTTGGGGCTTTGTTCAGAAGAATGCAGATAAATGTTCATTTTTAAATATCGTTTTTTTTTTACCCTTTCAAACAAATAAGCAGTGCGATTCTGTATTAAATATATTTAGAATTTTAGTGTAAAGCTTTCAAATTTTCCTTTGCTACAGTACAAAACAAGATACAGTATTGAACGCTGAAGTATAAACCAATATTCTGTAGATTGCTGTTCATGCTACCAACATAATTATTAATATTATTAGACTCGTCAATCCAAAATACATTACAATATTTGAAAGGCTACATTCAAGACACATGCACCATAGCGTTTCAAGTCAATTACAATCATTTTACTGCTGATTCTACTACCAAAGCAGGTGTAAATCCTTGTATTTGGAGTTGAAGGGGAAAAATGAACAAGATCCAGCCAACATCACACACATGATCAGACTAGATATTATTGCTTGAGCTTTGTGCTTGGACAAGTGCTAGATTAGCTTATTACTGACTAAACTTATGAAATTTGTACTTGGTGTGAAAGCATTTAACGAAGCACTGAGTAATGGGTTAAACTCACAGCACATCAAATGCTTCTGTAGGGGATTTTCTGCCAATTAAGTGTGGCAGACATTTTAAAAGCAGTGATGAAAAGAATGCAGGTCAAGCAAAACTTAAGTACAATTAAATATATCAAAAATAAATAGAATCATGCAAAATATATTAGATTAAAAATAGTGGACTACATGCCACCTGTTATTGATTGGACTGTCTTATACGAGAGGGACACCACATGAAATCAGTGTCTGATTTGTGGGTCCTAAAGCAGACGTAACAGACTTTAGGAGCATATTTTGGAATGCAAATTATACTTTAGCCCTTGCCGACTTGTATGTTGACAAGAAGTGCTGCTTGTATGAGTTATCCAGTAAAAAAAAAGGGCTTTCTCACAAGGCATATGGCGCAGATGTTTCCAATTGTGAAATCCTTGCTGGTTGTGTGTGCAAATAAAGGGGGTTTGCTGGTTTTTTAAGGATCAGCGTGATTAAAGCAGAGTCGCCCCTTCAGTGTTTGACACTGATTAAATAACCGGTCCTCCACAGGATCAGGAATATTTCATTTGAACAAAAAGTAGAGAGAACTGTGGTTTGATATTTGTTAAATATTACCAAAGATTTATGGTGGTAATGTGCCAGAGAGTGGGAGAAGGCTGGACTGAACTGAACGTAAGGCTGGTTCTGGGGTTATGCTTTTTTCATGTGGGAGGCTGGTTCTTTTGAAGACTGTTTAGGGAGAATGGAGCTGTAGGCTGGTACTTTGAAGGGAGAAAGCCATAAAAGATTGCAGCTTCAGTATCGGTATAGGCTGGTTGTTTAAGCAGAGAATGCCAGTTTTAGACTGCAGGTAGAGTAGCCCTCATCGCTGGCCGAGCTCTGCCGGCTGCTGTGGTCGTCTAGGTCGCTCGCACCACTGGTGCTAACACTGTCCATTTCTCCATGGGAGAACTCAGTGCTTTCAACGTCCACTTCAATTTCCTCTGCATGCAGAACAAAGAAGTTAGGATTACACGATCAGTTATTAGAAAGTAAGTACAGAGTTGTATTAGAAGACTGACCTCTGTCCGACTCTGAGCGATCAGAGTCCATGCGGGAGCCAAGGCTGTCTGTGCGGACCCTCTCCCATTCCCCATGAGACTGCAGCAGAGCCAGCTGCCTCTGCAGGTGTCTCTGCTCTCTTTCTAAGGTCTCCAGTTGGTGCTGACTCCTTCGATCCGCCTCTTCAAGTTTCTAAAGAGAAATAAAAACATGTTTCAATGAAATCTCTTGTAGCTTATAAAAAATGTAATTATAATGTTTACACATTGATTCCAGATCATTTGTTTATGCAAACCACACTGTAGTGACTCATTTAGGCTTTTCTAGATATTTTCATGTAGTTAAAGAGAAACTACATGGAATATTTAGAAGCGTCATGCAGCTACTACCATGTTTTAATGCAAACTCTCAGCATGCAGCTGTTTTCCAACAAATATTTTCCAGACTGCTGATGATTGTAGCCAAACATCTGGTGCCTATGATGTTTACTGTGTCTTGCAAACACTCCCAGCCCCCCAAAAATGCATATTTTTACTCTTACTAAGAAACATCAGTTCATTTTTGGCTTATTCATTCATCCAGGTCCTGGAAACTAGGCCTCACCACCGCATGATGCAGCCACCACTGTGTTTTATTGTGGGAGTAGTGCACACAGAGGGAGGTGTTTTCCAGCTTACTTTTTATTTTGCAAATATTTAACTTGAATTTTGATCTAATTTGATTGGTATTACGTTGTATGAAGACTTTTGCAAGGGAGAAGGGTATCAAAAAGTTGGGGTATGTCTTTAAAGTTGGCGTAAGGACCCAACAGGAGTCTGCTAATCAACTGTTTTGGGTCTTGAGATACTCTTTAATCATGGTAAAGCATATTTAGGCTTTAAGTGGTTCACTTGTTAATGGTTAATACATTGTGAAATATAAATGATAGTGGAAGTAGCAAGTAGGTTTAATGGAGGAAAACGTGATTGTAAAAGGAATAAGAATTGAACAGAGCACTAGAAGCAACTAATCAAAAGCGGACAGAAGGAAGGCAGCTCATTGAAAGCGAAGATTCATCAACAACTTATGTTTAACATAAAACCATTATTCAGATCTGCAAACTCTATTCAAAACAAAGAAATCCACCGGTTTGTTTAGTCATTAGAAGATTGCCTTCTTTCACTTTATGTGACAGGATTGTAGGGGAACAGTTGATCAATACAAACCTACTTTTTGTCTTATTATCATTACAAATTGTTAAGCCTCATTTAGACCTCCAGAATAAAAGAAAAAAACTCAAGAAAAGCCCTCAGCATGATGCAGCTACTGTCATGTTAGAATGTTGCAGCTTTATGCACAGAATTATTATATCATTTCTGACAGCAATTATGTTAGAAATTATAACCACACTTAAAAAGGAATCCCAGTGAAGTGAATAGTTTATAGATGCATCACATCAAACTATGGAAAAGCTCAGGGGATTTTAGCAAATCACTGGGCTAACTCCTTTTCTAAAGGGATTAATAATCCCAATACATAGCCAAGAGAAAAGCACCAACATACGTAAGGTTGATAGGTTCCTCCTATAATTTAAAATCTGTATTTTTAATAT